ATTACGGAACAGGAGACCGTTAACTTCACACTGGTATTTTCATGTGCCTAGAATCTGCTCATATCTTAGTATATATTTATATGTAATATATTGTTCCTTCTTTATATTCAGACACAGAGAATGCTTCTCACTCTCAGATGAAATTTTTTTACTGTGTTGCACTTGCAGCAAGCGAAATTACTGCCATTATCGGAATGTGGGGCGTTGTGTTATGCTACAGGTAGGTCAATATTACAGCACAGTTACCATCTTAAAGTTATTTCATAAACATATTAATTAAAAATCCAACTAAATATAGGCCTACTAATCGCCGGAACCAAACATTGTATAGTTCTAGTCTGACGTTTAATAACCTTTTTTGTCATTCAGAGTTTTGAAGAATAAACGGAATCAAAACAGGCAAGAATACTGAGATCACAGGAGTCATTACTGTGAGTAATTTCATACTTTCCACGGTGGTGATGAACCACGGTCAGTAACCAGCGCTTACAATGGTTAAAGTTAGTGATGGGTAGTGATGTGATACACTATCCATTATGATGTCTGTTAAAACTGCTAGCTTATCAAAATTGTATCCAAATATTGTATATCAATACAACACAAACAAAAATACAATTTTAATGTAGATTGTTGAAAGGTGTATTATAGTTGTTCAGGATTTTCCTGACAGTCCCTTACTAGTAAAAATATTTAAGATAACTGCAAGCAGGTTGGAACATTGTCCATGGTATAGAAACGGTACATATTATAAAAAATAGCTAATAAATGTGACTTGCGAGTTGGTAGGACTGGGCCCACTGTATCTGTGGAAACAGGTCAGGAGATGTAGGCCTGCATGTAAAATGCTGCGGTCTAATGCCCCCCCTCAAATGTCTGTCTGGGTTGGGTCAGTTGGAGAAAAATAAATGATGAAAAAATTAGTTGTACTGGTTTTGCAGATTTAGGGACACATTCAGTTGCCGTAGCGCCTCCTTTTGACTAATTGGTGCCAAATTTGGAGGCCCCTTCCAGAGTGCCCTTCTACAGTATCTTTTCAAGTATGGTGAGGATTGGCTGAAGCATACATAAGATATAGCTGTCTGACTGATACTGGTACTGGTATAGTTTGAGGTCTGGCTAGTGCCTGTTCTGTGCAGGAAGTTTAAGATTTAATAATTATTTTTACAGACCATCTGCTGATTCCATTGATATCAGATTTATGTAGACTGGGTGAAAATCCTAGGATGAGTTTGAAGTTAAACTATGAAATAGTTTAACTTCTTTGCATTTTGTTCTAAGTTCTATATGTTGTTCGACTTGGCAAAACATACCGAACTAGCAGGGAAAGAAACTTCAACTTTAAACCTGACAGTTCAGGAGAAACAGGCAGAAATGCAAATCAATACATGTATAAATGGATAAAGATGCTGGAAAAAAATTTAATTAATTGCACATGTTCACCCAGTCTAAAGTGATGCAATCTGGAACATAACAACCTCTCTTTTTAAAGATTTATTTATGTCCTGAGAAGAAACATACATTCATTGTTTTATTTCAGGGGCAGCATGTGGCTCAGTGGGCTAAGCCTGTGTGCTTGTAATCACAAGGTTGCTAGTTCAAAAACAACTTCCCCATGGGGATTAATAAAGTATTACACTCCTCATATTTTAATGGTGTGATGTGGTTACACTGAAACCAAAATGATGTCATTCGTGCCTTTGCTTTTATAGGACACCAAACACCGAAGAGCTCAGCGAGTGGATTAAATGGCAAGCTCACCCGGTGTGATATACTGAGAGAGAAACTCAAGATAGAGGACTTAAGGACAAAACAGCGCATTTTACTGTAAAATTAGTGAACTTGTTAGAAAAAAAATCTTTTTAATTTTTGCAATTTCTAACACTTCTGGATCTGCCCAGTCTTACCAGTTATGCTTTATTTATTGCACTGGAAGAGTAAACCATTAACCAGTGACTTTAAAAATTGCTAACTTTTAATGAAGACTGGACCACATCCCACCAAATGCGATGTTCATAGGCCTAATTAAAAAATACACCCTTAATTAATTGAAACAAGCTGTCCTGTCTATGTGCAGACAGACTGACCACAGTTAAGATGGACATCACAGTCACATTAATCATACTAATCGCCTTGGGTCCGGATTTTAAATTGTTTGGGAATAACCCAGGTTGGGGTGCCAATCCATCACAGGGCACACGTACCATTCAGGCCTATGGGGAATTTGGCAACTCCAGTTAACCTCAGCATGTGTTTGGACTGTGGCAGGGAAACCATAGAACCCAGAGGAAACCCCACAATGATAAGGGGGCAGGGGGCACCCGAACCGCAGATCCTTCACTCAAAACATATATGAATGGCTGAAGCACAGTCATACCACCCAGCTTTAACCCTACCCAAGCAGGCCTGCCAGTCTCTGGGCACAGTGTCCATCCACTCTGCATTCTCTCTGCCCCGTCGGCTGTGCAAACCAGCAGGTCTCAGGCCACTGCATGCATGTCTGTGTGACAACCTGTTTCAATTAATTTGCACAAGGGTGAATGTTAAGGTATAATCAAAGCTTTGCTCGCTTCTTTATATTATAATAAAAATATTTTGATGCCAGCTATTCATCTTGTTTTCTGTGCAAACAAGCCTCTATATATGCCTGGTGGTTTGTGGGAAAAGAGCTACAATTCCAGGTTTCTACCTTAAGTACAGCATCCACTGGGGGTCTTGGTGATGGGCTGAGACACAGAACCGTCTGGTTACTTGAAGGTATGTCCTGCGGTGATGGATCCTGGCTAGAGCAAGATGGGCATTTGCCCAGGGTGACATCTTCTGAGGGGGGGCGGCAACACTCCCCCAGGGTCATGTTGTGACATAGAGACATCAAGTGACAAGGGGAGAGTTTCACAATAGCAAATAGGTGCAATTTCTAAAGCCTGGACACCACAGTGATGTACATGGAAAATGTTGATGGCTGTTTATAGAAAATTTGCGACAAAGTCAAAGTTTGCTTATAGAAATTCTGAAAGTGTGTTATTTAGAATAAGATGAAACAGGGAGTGTGCAGTAGCACTAAAAATAACTGAAAGTTCACACCTCTGTTTTTCACATGGCATGATCACACACTAAGCCTCTCATATGTTTCATACGTTCAGTCTTGCTCGTGGTGGGACAGCTTTCACAGTGGGCAGTCAGCTGCATGGGATGATGGGAAGGGCATCGGTGTGCATGTTGCCCAATCCCGTAGCACTGTGCATTACAGCATTACAATATGTTACAGTGCAACTGCAGCTTATCCATTAAGGGAGTGCCGATACATAAATCGTTCTTCAACAAACATGAGGTATATTATCAGCAGAGGCCTGTTCTTATTAAGTACAAGCCAGTGGCCCCGGACTGGTAGCTGAACTCAGTATACAACGTCACCCACCCTCTCCAGGATATTCCACGATCCCATTCAGTGACTGTCCAGTTTGGAACACCTGCCTTTCTTCCTGAGTTAAGAACCCAAACCAGCTCTCCACGATCATAGTGCTGAGCCTAGGTGTGCATGTCATAGTTTCTTCTTCTGCTGCCCCCCTGCACTGCACAGGCTGTCTCCAGATGATCTTTCAGTCTTCTAGCATATTCCAGACCAGGAGGGTCTCTGAAGACCAGCTCAGCTGGCATCTGTATCTCCCTTCCCAGTATAAGGAGAGCTGGTGTGCGAGAACTGGAGTCACGTACAGCAGAAGAAGAGGCTGTAATGATCAGAGGCAGGTGTGCGGCCCAATCATGCTGGTGCTGAGCGGGTGTGATGGCGAGATACTCTGCTAATGTCCTGTTAAATCTCCCCATCAGTCCGTCACTTTGGAGATGCAGAGGGCGGTATGTGTCTTAGTGACTCTTAGCCACTTGCACTTGGTGAAAAACAACCCAGGACTCGAAAGCTCATCCTTGATCACTGCGAATGGATTACAGTGCCCCAAACCAGTTAAACATTTCCTCAACCAGCACATCCACTGTGGACTCAGCATCCTGGTCTGGGAGGGCACAAGCCTCTGGCCATTTGAAATAGTCCATGTCTGTTTCAACAAAGCAGTGACCCTCGTGGGTGCATGGAAAGGGCCCCATTTATATCCAGTCCTATCTTCAGCATTGGCTCATCCACTGAGAGCAGCTGGAATACAGTGTGAGACTGACCCTGTGGCCCTTTATGTGCTGTGCTAGACAGTTTTTGTCACTGCAAAGTGGCCAGATCCAGTGGTTCCATGCATGATCTGCGGTCCCCTTGGCACCACAAACGGCAATCTCTCCTCCCCCCTTGTTGGCTCTTTGCATCCCCTCTGGGGCACGCGATTCACCCCAAACTGTCCAGATCCTGACTGTCCAATAACACCTACTGTAAAGGTGCTCTGCAGGCTGGTGAATATTGTGGACAGAGGACAGAGCAGGTGGGTGAACAATATAAAGTTGGGGTTGGGAGAGAAAGAAAATGATCAATTGTTTCTGTTTGTATGTTTCTACCCACTGCTGCCTCCTAGTGGCCAGGCACACTTCTGACACCGGCTGTGAAAGCCATCAAAAATCATGGGGTAGGCCATAACAGACAAGAGGACAGGAGGAGGGATGCCAAAAATATTTTTATTTTATTACAAAAACCCTAAAGTTCAATATCCATTCCCCATAGCATCTAACTCACAAAAGGGAAAATACCATCATTTATTAAACTAGTCAGCGTGGTCTGATGGAGAACCTGTGTGTCAAGGGGCCTTTGAATATGCTAGAAAAAGAAAGATATAATTGGAGGAAGAGGGGAGTAACCAAATACTGACTCACGATCACTTGTTTACAGAAAATAAAGTTGCGGATGATCGATAGGATTTGCGGAGCCAAAACTGATCTCACTGGAATCCCAATGGGGCAAAAAAGAAACAGAAAATAGCGGTGATGAATTGCTGAAAAATGTGTCAGAAATGAGCACGTTTTTACAATTAGTTGTTGCAGATGTAGAGGTTAACAGTCAGGAATTAGGAAACATTATAGTTGCTGCCAGGCTCATGTAGTGAGGGGGGGGGACAGTGAACTGTATTATAGCTAGTATAGTAGGAAGCTTAAGGGTTCCATTTTAAATAAGCACAATATGCACTATATGGATAATACTATTGGGACATCTGGCCATTACACCCACAGGAACTTTTATGACGTCCTGTTCTAAATCCAAAGGCATCAGTATGGATAGTCAGTCCCCCCTTTGCAGCTATAACACCTGCCACTCTTCGGGGAAGGCTGCCCACAAGATTTTGGAGTGTGTGGGAATTATTTCCCAGTCATTCAGAAGAACATTTGTGAGGTCAGGCATTCTAGTTCATCCCAAAGGTGTTTTATGGGGTTGAAGTTGGGGCTCTGCACAGGCCAGTCGAGTTCTTCCACACCAAACTCACCCAAACATGTCTTTATGGCCCTTTTGTGCACTGGGGCACAGTCACACTGGAACTGAACAGGGCCTTCCTCAAACTGTTCTTACAACGTTGGAAGCATAGAATTGTCCAATATGTCTTGCCTTCTTAAAGCTAAGTCGTTCAGAATGCTGAAACATTCCCCTCCCTTCTCTGCAACTCAGGGGCCTAGTCCAACCACTGAAAAACAATCCCATACTATTATCCCTCCTCCACCAAACTTCACAGCTGGAGCAATGCAGTGAGACAGGTAATGTTCTCCTGGCATCCACCAAACATAGACTCGTCCATCAGACTACCAGACAGCGAAATGTTATTCACCATTCAACAGAACACATCTCCATGGCTCCAGAGCCCAATGGCACCGTGCTTTACACCACTGCATCCAATGCTTGGCATTGCACTTGGAGATGTGAGGCTTGCATGCAGCTGCTCGGCCATGGAAGCCCATTCCATGAAGCTCCCGGGCACACAGTTTGTGCTGGAGTTAATGCCAGAGGAAGTTTGTAACTCAGCAGTTATTGAGTCAGAGTATTGGTGACTTTTACGCACTCAGCGACCCTGCTTTGTTCTGTGGTCTGCCACTTTGAGGCCGAGTTTCTGTTGTTCCTAAACACTTCCATTTTGCAGTAATACCACTTGCAGTTGACCGTGGCATACATAGCAGGGAAGAAAGTTCACAAACTAATTTATTGCAAAGGTGGCATCCTATGACTACCACACTTGAATTCACCCATTCTAGAATGAACCATTCTTTCACAAATGTTTGTGAACCTGACTATTATACCTGTCTGAATAAAACACCTGAATTGAATGATTGAGGCATGTCCCCATACTTTTGGCTGTATAGTGTGCATTTACCCTTTCCTGAACTTGGAAGTAACGCCAGTGTCTTAACAATATATCCTGTGCTACCCTTTGGCATTTTTTGAGCCCTGAATTGCCATTGAACACAGTCAGTTTTGGAACCTGGCCCTCATGCAATTCTGGTGCTACCCCTGCCACAGCCAGAAGGGGGCAGTAGAAGATCATAATACATCTAGGCCCAGGCCCCCTGTTCCCCCAGCAGTAAAGGGCTTTCTCGTTTCTCCTACTCCATGAGACAGACACATATAAAAGTGAAAACAAGCTTGAGGGTCACCCAGGGGTTAAGGGCCTTGCTCCAGGGCCCCACAGGCGGCCCTCCAATCATGGGCACAGAGTCCGGGGCCACACACTGCCCCACTGATCATGCACTGTATATACATGAGGAACAAAAGGTTACTTAACTGAAATTGTTTCAAGATTGCATGTGTAACCATAGAACCAGGTGGAATGCCTTTCATAAAGGCAATTTAACAAGATCACACAAATCTGACACCGTAAACAAGACCAGAGATGTGATCCCCCACATAGAAATGCAGAAATTTAAATTTAAAAGATTAGAAGGCCACACCGATTGGCAAATGGGAATACCAGCATCCGCTCTTCCCACACATACTTTCACAAAAATAAAAATTGCCGCACACTCAATACATTAAAAGCCAGTTAGGCTATTAAAACAAGCATCACCAAGGAGCAGCACTGGGTCTCACCACGGCTGGTGAACAGAGGGCACCTTCCAGACACTACACACACCACTCGTGAACACACCTCTCCAGCGGAAACCAGTGCAACACCAAGAAAACCCTACACCACGTACAGCTCAGCCTGCCGCCCACTTCAACCCCGCTGCTCCTGTACAACAAAATCACAAAGAAAAAAAATAAACTGCCCCAATGCCGACACAAGACGGAAGGGGCGATATAAATGTGATCTTGCTCCTCTCGATTGCACATTCGGAAGGGCCGCTGTTCTGCCATAAAATACTACCTATCGAGACGTGCTATCGAGCCTTTCTGCGCATGTGCAGTTCCACCGTTTTGGGATTATGGTTAGGTTTTAGGGGTTAGGGTTAAGGTAAGGGTTTTTGGGGGGTTAGGGTTAGGGCAAGAGTTAGGGTTAGGGCTATCGATTAGCACTACGGTAGCATTTTTCGACAGAACACCGCCAAACGAAGAAACGAAACTTCAAAGTAGACAAAGCAGCAGCATTGCAAGATGGAAACCAAGGGAGCAACAATCACTCCCGCTGCCACATGCAGCCGAACCTGCGAAACATACAACAAAAGAGAAAACAACATTATACACCGGAGGTTGAGGTTCAGGTTCCTTTATTTGTACCCGTAGGTAGATTTGGGGCGCAGTCATGAGTCATACATCCTACATACACGTCAACACAGGAACAACTGACAACAAAAACACATTAAGAAATGCTATAAGCGACCTACGTACCTCAATAAACACCGATATCGCAAAACAGGAGGCACACAGCAACCGATATACCCCCAACGTGGCACAAGCTGGGTGCGCTACAAAACGAATCAAGAAACAAGTTATGCCAATGACACCGTTAAATCTTACACAGAAGCGCTAAAACGGCATACCTTAATGACGGGCAAAAATGCCGTTGCCCACGCTGCCTTAAACAGCCACACAATCACGCCACCAACGTGGAAACTGAACTTCCCAGTACCACGTAAATGTCAGCAAAATGTATGTCTGGAGCGAATTCTCCCCCGCTCTTATATGGCATCACCTAGCTCCGCCCACCAATCTAAAAGCCCTCAGACCAATAAATCTTAATTAAAATAATATTAGGTATACACCTTCATATGGAAAGCAATACCCAATATTTCAACCTGTCAGGCATGTTAGGGTGTGAAACTGAGGTCTGGTGTAGATACAAAAGAGTGTGTCCAATAAACCACAGCTCAGCTTACCCACAAGTTTTTAAAAAAAATTATCAGGGGTAAGTTTCCTGAAGCCTTCTTACAGCTACATGTTCAGAAGTTTTATGTTAAAATATAGAACTTATGAATGATGTAACGTTAAGAAGGCTTCAAGAAACCAACCCCAGATACAACATGACAGTGGCTGCCTTTTTTGTTTTTCTCAGGCACCTTCCCAGCTTTTCTTCAGTTACCTGACAATATAGCACCTGAAAGTGGACTCTGCCAAACCGGGGTCTGCAGAGAGGCCCACAAGGACCTATTACAGGAGATCACAGGTTTAGCTTCCCCCCGCCTCTTCCCCATAATAGTAGCATCCTCTCAAACTGTCTGACACTTCTGAGCTTAACCTTGGCGTTCATTTCAGAAACCTGTCAAACGAATAACAATAAAAGAAAGTGAAATTACATGAAGAGCAACCAGCTAAAACAAAAACTAAATCTGCTTTTAATTTCAACACTGCACAGCTGCATATGCCGGCTTGTTGTTAGGTGGCCGATGGGGCCTGAGGTTCCTGTCCATGCAGAATCTGCTCTGTTTTAATCAGCAACCATGACTGTGCATGTTTGCAGCAAGTGCATCAACCGTCAGGAAAACACCAGAGAAGGAAGAGTGAGGTCTGACACCAGCATACTGTGACATCTTTACTGGTAACCATTCATGATGCGTGTCACACAGCAACGTGTGCAACTCTGCTGTGAGCCACACTGGCCAGCAGGAAAACAGCTCCGTGCTCCTTCAGGAAATCGCTTCGGACACTTTGCTAGAATTCTGCAAATTGTCTGTGGCATGCATGAGGCTGCTTTCACGTCGCACAAGCAGCCCTGACTAAGGTGTCTTGAATAACAGGAAAACAAGCAGCTCTCTCACATTCTATGGCTTCGCACTGATGAGCATTTCACACACCGTTTCTAGGTGTGTACCCCTCCCTCTTATTGCCGGGAAAGGTCTCACACTAGAATAGAATAGAATAGAATAGAATAGAATAGAATAGAATATTGTTATTGTACCACTAACTCCATAAAATATGAGCTACTGGAGAGTGTACAATATTAAGGAAAGTCCGATTTGGATAAAAGAACAGATAAACATGTATAAAAGAAATGAAAAGTAGCTTTGATTAGGGGATCACAAAGTCACTGCATCTGGTCACACCGCCATCTTGCTAACTGTACACGCGATTTTTAAATATTTGAGCACTGTTGGTGCTGTTGTAGCTGGGTGTTGGTACGTTTGGGTGTAGTGTTGCTGTAAATAGACTATTAGCCTTAATCCTCAATGCATCTATAACCCATCTTCCAAAAACCTATCCAGTGTAGGATCATAGAGGTAGATGATTATGGTTTTCACTTTATTTTACCCAAAGTGTTTAATGAAACAGTTTTGTTTATGCTTTCTGGATTTATTAACAATTTTCTGACTATAAATAATTCATGAAATTCTCCGTCATGTATATATTTCGTTGGGGGTTCCAAACATCGTCCATTGACAGGCAACACCGTGAAGCATGTATGTTATCAGAGAGATTTCATTACACTTATTACAAAGAGACACACTGTATCTTGAGAATTACAGCCTGTTCCCCTCTGTGAGTCAAACATTAAAATGTCAATGATGCGCCACAGACTGTGTCTGGTGACCCACAATCTATATGAATCTTACTAGAATTAACACTGTGTGATGCTGTGAGGATTATGGGCCCTAGACCAGTGTTTCCCTACCAGGCGTTTGGGGCCACACACGGCCCACGTTTTTGCTCCCTCCCAGCTCCCTGCAAAAACATGGACTGTCTGCGGATCCCCGAGGACCAGACTGGGAAACACTGACCTAGAACTAAATGTCACAAAGAGCAGGAGCTCATCCTCCTGGTCCTGTGTAAGGTTACACCCTGACATAGAACAGTATAATGACCATGCTTTTGTTTTACTTGCCTATAGTCACTGTTTACAGAGGCGTTGAAGAGGGAACCTAAAATTTGCAGCAATGTAGAGATTCATGGTCCTCAGATAAACACCTGATAACTTGCATGACGTGGCAGTTGACCCAGAAATCATACAGTGCACACAGGGTTTGCACTGCATCCAGTTTTCACATAGCGAGGGTCTGCTGTTTCCCAGACTCCCCAGCCAACCACCCCCCCCCC